ACACCGATTTTCATATGTTTGCGAGTATATTAGAACCTGGTCGTAAAGTGGTGCATAAAGTTCGGGGGACGAATAAATTGAGAAAGGTTTATGTTCACCTGACTAGCACAGGCGGGGAGTTAAAAATTAATGACGAAGTGCTAAAGCAAGGTGACGGGGCATTTGTGACTAATGTTAAATGTGATTATGAAATTTCTTTTGAATCTACTGGGACGAAAAATGCCGAATTTGTTCTTTTTGATTTAGCTTAAGTGTTTTATTTAAATAATCCATCCGTTTTGGTTAACAATAATTTATTTGTTCAAAATATCATTTTAATTTATTTTTGAAAAATCCGACATTATGTATTAAAATAATGAATAAAATGATTGAGTCAAAATCGATATCTTGATATCTTTACATTTGACTTTTACAATTGACATCTTTGCAATCGCAAGATTATCATTTTTTCACTTTAGTCATTCCTGTGACTTCGGGTTGTCTCCTTATGTCATTGATAAGTCATCGTTTAGGAGTACGAACAATACAACACGCTGTATATGTATGTGTGCAATGAAAATCGTCAAATTCATCCGCAGCACGAAAACTGCGTCCTCGAAAAATGCGTAGTATATACTACTGCAGCACATAAAGCATATTTAAACCCATGAATTCACACCACCCTTGTGTCAGGAATCAACTCCTTATTTGCAATTATCATTGTTTTTTCGATGAGTGTCACCAATTCGTCACAACTATTTTTTTCTAACCTCCCATCTTCAATCTCACTTGATGAAGATATTAAAGAATACATCGCGAATGTATTAACCGATATCGAGGATTTCGCTTCTTTGAGGGACGCCACAGAACAATTCTTGATTGATGCAGGAACTAGTGACGAGGAATTGGAAAGTTTTTATTTAAAGCTATCCGCGGAATGGAAGGAAGACGAGCCTAGTTCTTCGGTAAGAGATCTAGTAAAGAGATTGCCATCCGAGATGCAGACAAAGGTAAACGGGTGTTCAAGGATTATTTTTGAATTCGGACAGAGTGAATGAGAGTAATAACGTCTTTTCGAAGGTTAACTTATCGACCACCTCCAAGTCGGGTAACACAAGCAACCAATCTAACGAAAAGACGACAAAGTCTTCTCCAACAAACCTGACATCGACCGCTCGTACTGTCAGCTCATCTTCGTCACCGCTGAAGAGCGATGATGTTGAAATAGTGGCCTACTCGCAACAATCGAGATTTCACACCGAAACTTTAGAAACTTTATCCAAGGAGGTGAGTCACAGATCGCATTCTTTTAGATACGTTCAATTTCGTTTACCATGCTTACTGACGCTTGACATGATACGTGAATAGGTGGACCTGAAAGATGTCAATATCACGGTTGGTCACCAAGAGTTATTGGTGGACTCGCGACTACAATTGAAAACCGGAGTTCATTATGGATTGATCGGCCGTAACGGTGTTGGTCTGTATCTCGGATTTCAAATAAAAAAATAAAACCGCGTCGATGTGTCTAAACTTTTTTTTTTCTTCGTTTATGATAATAGGCAAATCCAGTATGTTTTCAAATTTTATTAAATCTTTCGTCGGCCCTTCGTTTAACTAATGAACTTATCTTTTTTAGCACTTTTAAGATGTATCGGAACTCGGGAATTGATTGGATTTCCAAAAAATGTCCGAGTGCTCTATATCGAGCAGTTGGAACACATCGACGAGTCTCTAAGAGTCATCGATTTGGTTTTACAGGCCGACGAAGAACGAACCATGCTCCTACAAGAGAAACAGATCCTTCAGCAAGCGGCCGAAGGTGAAGTCATGGATGCCGAAAATGCGGTGAAAAAAGTTATGTTTGAAAGACTAAAGAAAGAATTGAAAGATGCAGAGAAGCTTGCAATTCAGAGGAGTGGTAGAAGAGGCGTCGAAGCGAGACAAGAATTGTTGGATGCTGAAGCCAGGGTTTTGGAAGCCAAGAGGTTTTTATCTCGGTTTCGCATACTTTTCACATTATTCAAAATAAACAACAACTTTCTCGTTCCCATCAGAGCGCTGGATGAAAAACACGAAAATCAAAACGAGGATTATACGACAAAATTGCATGTGCTTCTTGAAGAAGTTTATACAAAACTTGACCAGGTTTTTATTGATTCCAGTTTATCTCAAAAATGCGACGATATTGTGCAACTTACCAACCTTATTGCATGTAGATTGATGCAGATTCGGCCGAACCAAGAGCACGAGAGATTTTATCGGGATTGGGGTTCTCTGAGAAACAGCAATATTCTCCCGTTGCTTCATTGTCTTCACTCTCTGGTGGGTGGAGAATGGTATGTGGTTTTCTGTTTGCAAGCCATGTAAACTATGCTCCTGATGCTCTATCATTTAACATGCATGAAATTATTTTCGCAGAGAGTAACGCTGGCACAATCATTATTTTTGCAACCGGACATCCTGCTTCTTGATGAACCAAGTAACTTAATGATCCCGCGATTCATCATAGTCAATAATTAAATAGATATTAAAAAGAATTAACCGTGGAATTTTAATTAATCAATCTTCATTCCACAGCAAATCACTTAGACTTACCGGCCATCCTTTGGCTTCAATCCTACCTCAACACCTTGATCGATACCACGATGGTAATAGTTTCTCATGATCGAAGATTCTTAAATAAGACGGTCACAGAAATAATTAGGTTCAAGGATCAAAAGTTGACTTACCATACCGGAAACTATGATGAGTTCGAGAAGAATTTAGAGGATCTGAGACTGAAAAAGGAGAGGATGTATGAGGCACAGGAAAAACAGAAGAAGCATATTGAAATTAGTATACAGAAAGGGATGAA